AGTACCATATTTATAGACACAATTAAAGAACAATAGGTTGCGGTCACCGGTGACCGCTTGGTGTTTGACAGTTTAATGATTAAGGTAGTGTTAGTTTTACTTATTTATACTTTCTGTCTGTCATTATACTTATAACTTCACTACTTGAGCTGTTTCTTCCATAATTTTCAGGGCACCGAGACGTGGTACAAGAACATAGATAGCCAAGGACGATACCTCTGTAAATTCTGTAATAATACTTATTCAACGATCCAAACTGTCCGACACCATGTCAAAACTAAACATAGTAATAAATGGAACGAAATGAAAAGTATCGGGATAATTAAACTAAGAAGATCTAAACTAAAATGCTACATATGCAAGAAACTATTTAAAAGCACCGTTACATTACAAGATCATATAAAATCTCATGGTGTTGAAAACATACAAAAATCTTGCTTCATATGTCATGCAACATTCACCAACGATACAGAAATTTTAACTCATTTGGTCAACGAACATGACTCCGTTAAACGGAGACTACATAGCTGTAGCATATGCGGCTATTCTACTCCTAAGCTGTCTCATTTTAAGCAACATGAGAAGACACATTTATGTACTAATCAAATAAAGTGTTCTAAATGTGATTATTCTACATACCATACCTCAAATATGAAGATACATGAGCGTATTCACTTTAACGATAAACCATATACTTGTATGTTTCCGGATTGTGGGTACCGATGTGCAACGAAGTCTGGCCTGTCCAGTCATGAGTTGCAACATGAGAAGGAGAGAAAGTTTATTTATTGTGATAAGTGCAATTATAAGACTGTGTATAAACAAAGTTTGAAAAAACATATTGATAGTCATCGGAGGAATAGTTTGAAATGTAATTAGATTAATTTAGGCGGAGTATTGTAGTTATTTTATTTTTTTGAAGAAATGCCGGTCTAGTTACCTATTACTAGTTTATTGTTGTAACGCAAGTGCGACTGCCGTGCAGGGGTCTCCGGTTTGCTTCCTGTGTGGGCCAAAAAATAAGGATTTTTTTCAGAATTACGTAGATTAGATTAGAAGTAATTGGAAATATGCTCACCCCCTATTACTTGGGGCTTATCAGCATAACATAACTGATGAAGAAAGGCTGTTTAATATGGCGTTAATCTTGCAACTCGACTAATTTCAAGCCATGCTAGAGGCTCATATTTATGCCAAGCATTCCGTGACACGCGACACAGCTATTATCGCGATGCTACTATACTATGAGCCTCTAGCATGGCTTGAAACTAGTCGAGTTCCTCGTCAAACAGTTACGTCAGTAAGCCGAAAACATAATAATTAATTTAGTAGGTCTCACGAAAGTTTTAATATAAACAGTAGATATTTTTCAACTTCGAAACTATAATTGACCTTCTCAATACCTCCACAAATTAAAATGAAACTGGATTAAACCAGTACAGGCAATCTTGCAAATTTTAATATTGAAATTTGTACCCAGGTTGGTAACTAAGCTGCAATTACATTCCATTAACAGTGAAATATGCAATCATTTATGACAACAATCTACAAACAGGACGTTATCACAAAAAACATTGCAAGGTTGATTAATATTATCTAAATTACAACTGTCGCATCCTAAATCTTGATTCTGATAATGAAATCTACATCACAATCAGATGATCTACTTTTATCGGACTTAAAACTTGATTTATGGTTGTTTTTATCTTTACAATAATGTCACACCTTTTTAAATCCCCGAAGAATGCACATAAAAAGTAGTTCACCCACTATTCGTCAGTTAGAAGTATGTATTACTAGCTTTTACCCGCGGCTTCGCTCGCGTCACAAAAGGATAAAAAGCTAATGTGACTTATACCAATACACACAGCGCCATCTATACCAATACTTTTGTTTTTCCTTGGGAATATCAATCCGGACTTCTAACTATACATCTGCAAAAATTCAAAGCAATCGGTTAAGTAGTTACGGCGTTAAAAGTGGAACAAACAAACAAACTCACTTTCCGATTTATATTATAAGTAAGGATAAGTCCTATGTACCCAATAAGAAAGCCTATTACCTTAAACTAGACAGAATTAATTTTTGTCCTATACTATGAATGATTTTGTGAACAATGTGGAGGGCACAAAAAATTGTTCTGTGCGGGAATCAAACCTGTGATAAGTTATCCAGCCACTATGCGAACTATACACTCGAATTCGAAAACCTAAGGAAGCAACCTACTACCTATAAGGAGTTACTAGTTTTGAATACTTTGACTCATACGGAAATCGAACCCACACTAACCAGTTACGTACTTACACTAGCGACCACTCAATCACAATTAAACCAGATAGATATTATTCACGAATAATCTTTGTACCTACCTACATATAATTAGGTGTTTTCAAGGGAAATCGGAATTCCCTCCAATCAAAGCTCAAAAAGCAATCTTAATACAAGGAATTAAGAGTGTGGTTATACACAATATAACATCACGGGTTTTATCCCTGAAGGGGTAGGCCGAGGTGCACATTACGGCACTTAATGCCACTTTACAATGTAACACCCACTTTTCACTATTTATTTTATGAGTCCCATGTAATAGGGGGAGAGTCTATTGCCATATACCGGGCTCAATTCCAAACTCCGTGTTACTACTGAGATTTTTAGAAAAAGGTAGTTTGGCAACCATAATAAAAGGTCAATAATACTTTGCCCAACCCGGGAATCGCACCCGAGACCCTTTGCTCGGCAGTCGCACTTGCGACCACGCAGCCAACGAGGCAGCCATACTTTCTAAAATATATCAATTTCCGTGTTTTTTTTGTGGTAACTTCATTTAGTATTAGATATCTATGTTCTTATTGTATTAGTGACCAGTGTACTGCAAGGGTATTTCGATCCCGGAGCTGCGGACAACTTAACTGGTTACCGGGCCTCCGGATCGAAGTGCAGGATTAGGAACGGGGTGGTTTTAGTCAGTAAGAGTCTGACAATCTCGCCTCACCCGGACGGGAGAAGTTATTCGATGATTGATGATCCCTCTTAATAAAGACTTTTTTTTTAAGGGGGGAAAATCATCGTATGACTGCTCCCGCCTGGGTGAGGCGGAAGGGAGTGTCAGACTCTTACTGACTAAAAACCACCCCGTTCCTTCTCCTGCACGTCGAGCCGGAGCCCCGGTTACCCGTTAGGTTCTCCGCGACTCTTAATAAAGACTACAAACAATATTTTATTATAAACACCAAAGAAATTGTAACCGAAATATGTTGCTGGTCACACTCGCACCTCCGCCGTGCTAACTGTACAGGAAAAACTGTACATTAATGATCTAATTTTAAAGTGCTTATATCAACCTGGGCTCGTCTCAGTGATTAAACAGTTATCGGTTGCTAAGCCAGAAACTTTATAATTTAACTAGCTACTTCCGCGCGATTTCACACGCTCTGCTCAGCTCCTATTGGTCGTAGCGTGATGTTTTTTAGCCTATAGCCATCTTCGATAAATGCGCTATCCAACACAAAAAGAATTATTCAAATCAGACTTGTAGTTACGGAGATTAGCGCGTTCAAACAAACAAACAAAAAACAGACTCTTCCGCTTTATAGAGGTATAATAGTTGTAATAATATAATACAAACTAATAAGGTTGAATTTAACTAAAAATCGCGGGTTACTCACGTGAATATACTGAGAAAAGCTCTACTAGTCGCGGCGATGTCGCGCGGCCTACTTACATCGCCTTCGCCGCTACCGCGTACCTACGCTGCTTATGAGGAAGAACCCCTCTGTGGTTCGAAACTAGTAGAGGTTTTCTCAGTATATTCACCTAACCCGCGACTTTCAGATAATTTAGTATGTCTCACGAATTTTATTATAAAAACAAGGTTGAATTTGATGACTTGCATAAAGAAAATTACTTTCAAGTTCCAACCCTGTGCATACATTTACTTTATGTATTCTAGATTAAAATTTAAGACTGACTTGTAAAAAGAATCTCAAATAAAAACATCATAAAAATATTGATAAAATTCTTTTATTTTTGTACATTTTTTTACAACAATTCATTAAAACAAAATTGATACTTAGATAATAAAATACTAACAATTATTTACATTATGCTTTAAGCAGTAACTAGGTTCTAATCTATTCTAATGTACTTTTTTATTTTTATTTGCATTTCCAGTTATAGTTACTATAATGAAACCTTCATGTACAATAATAATTCGAGAAAACAATATTTAAAAAATATAAAAACGGCACTATAAGTTCGTTCCTGATAATACATACAATAAAAATAATAATAACAGGATTTTTAAGGTTGTTTTGGAAAAAACATCGTGAGGAAACCTCAGCATATAATTTCTAATTGTAAGTTTGTAATCGTTAAACTGCGTTGGCCAAACTTAGTGATGAATTCTCAAACCTTCTCCGTGTGAAAAGAGACTTTTGTTCAACAGTTCAAGGCGCTTATTGGCTAATGATAAAGCTTGTCCCTACTCTTTTACCTTGTCAGAAAAGTCTTTTACAGAAAATTCGAGGAAATATGTTTATTTTTTGGAATTTCAAAAATTTGTTTTCTAAACCTAACTCAGACCTAGTTCGAGATAAAATAATTATCTCTGTTCAATCAACTCCATATATAATTTTTACATCCAGCGATTTTCAAATTTAAACCAACATATAATTTAAAAATATATAGCAATTAGCAGCCAATTTTACAAAATTATTACTTTCTTACTAAATATTGTATTGCATTGCACAGATAATATAAAAACAGCCATAATATAATTCCTCTAAAAATTACAAAATTAAATTCTGTAATTCTATCAATTACTACATATACGTATAGTTTGTGGCCATTAAACTGTCAAACACCAAGCGGTCACCGGTGACCGCGACCTATTGTTCTTTAATTGTGTCTATAAAACCGGTACTCGACGAGTTAAATAAAGAAAATCTTTACAAGTGCTAGCTAACCTTATTGTTCATAATACAACATATTTATGTTTCATTTCAGTGCGGTTTAGGTTTGTGTCCGTCCACATAAAAGTTTCTGGTTGCTTTCGGTAACTGTACTTCCATGCCTTCTAAATCTTTGGTTAGCGTTATTTGACAACCTGGAAATAAGAGAAGAACAAGAATTATTAGTAAAATGTCATCTGCATCAGCCTGAAGACACCCACTACTTATACCGTGGTATGCTGGAACGTAGATCTATGCGAGACAGGCACAATGTGTTTTTTATTGTGTCTCATATACTAACATTCAAAGCATAACAAAAGGCCCCCAAAACAAAGTTCTAATTCGATTTGAAAAAAAATGTGGGTAGAAGTAAAATACATAAGTATTTGACATATTACTGGTCATTTGCTTGACAGCTGTTCATGCGTTAGGTTGCATCTGCCAGTAAAAAATGTTTTAAAACCTAGAAACTATTTCTAGACTAGACGGAGAAATTTGTTACACAAATATGTACAATTGTAGTGTTTTATTGTAGACATTATCTAATTATATGGTGGTTTTAGCGGTACTTTAAAGTCAATCAATTACAATTAATCCCTAATAGGGCACTTTTGAAACGTCAAATTGAATTGTCAGTGAAGCTGGTGATATGTTTGAAAAATCATTTAAAGGTAAGTTTGATAGTGCAAGAACTTTTATAACACTCTCTCAGGTCTAAGAAAATTTTAAACATACCTAGCCTAGAGTTTTCTTTCAAAAATGGAGCCATATCTAGTAAGTCATCTTCTTTCTCTTCTGATGCGGGTAGTTTATCAAAGTAATCTGGTGGAACATAGACATGACATGTTGTGCAAGCTAGTGATGCTTCACAGGCTCCTGGAAATGAAACAGAATACAAATAGTAATTATAGAGTTTAGGACGTTAACATGTTAAACACTATGGGGGTCACTGGTGACCGACGTTAGTAAAGGAATTGGCTTCAACAGTTTTCTAATGGCAGCCATAGGCTTAAGCTATTGAATATTAAGTGGGTCACTATTGAAGTGGCCTATGTCAGACAGAGGACTGAAATGAACTCGTGTCACGATGTAAAGTTTTTAAAATAGTTACGATTGAGACCTATGAACTTTTTAAGTTGAAATTAAAATAGTTGATCATTTGATATTCATGTATGAGGTATTACAAATCATGGCTGAATTATTATATAAGTTTTTTCAATACAGGAAAATGGGGTGAACAGATACAGAAGAGGGGTAAATAAATGTTGGGAAAATAGTCTAACACTTATTCACCCCATTCCTGTATCTATTCACCCCGTTTTACGGTAAAGATAAAGATAATATATTTATTTGTATAAACATGTGTGGGTAACATTATACATATCAATGCAAATGCAAATGATAAAGTACTTAGGGAAGTCTCCATTCACTATTCACTGTAGTACTAAATTCTTTAAGTTACTTTCTCGTAATAAAAGTAGTGAATAAAGTTAATAAGAATAGTGTAGGAATATGGACGGACACAAATCTTAAGTACTGGGTGACCCAGCAAACTTAATATTGCCTAAACAAAATTTGTAACCTTCCCTGGACCTCTATGATTCAAAAGCAAAATTAGTCACGTTTTAGCGAGATTAACGATTTCATTTTTATTTTTATTTATAAAGATTGTATTGAAGAAAAATATTAATAATCTTACCTTCCATGGGAATGTCATGCCTATGTGCTAAGTACATTACATTATCACCTACTTTCCCTCTCACTTTAATTCTGTTTCCGTCTTTGTCTACATAAGTTATGTTCACACTGAAAATGAAAAGAAAAAAATATAAGGTGAAATTATTTGAATCCTATTTTGTTTTCCTAAAATATTATAAATAAGCGGTAGAAAATTAAAAATTTACACATTCTGAAAAGTAATTTGACTAATTGGAAATAGTCCTATTAGAAATGATGTCTAATGGTGGTGCACTCATCTTTTTACAGAAAATAAATATATTGTTGATATCAAAGGTTTATGAAAAATATGATGTAATAATTTTGATAAGCCAGAAATAAACTGCAACATCTATATTTAATAATAATTTTTATTACTTATCTAGTTATTATCTCAATGTTTACCTGAACTTAACATACATATATACATAACCTTAAGCCTATCTCTAATGGGGGTAGGCAGAGATATGAATTGCTATGATTCTTTCGGTTCCCATTCTCAACAGTTGTCAGTCTGTTCATATTATATGATAGTCGCTGAACTTTATATCTCAAAATTAAACAACCCTTCTCCCACTTATCAACATTATCAGTAGTTCTTAAGTTATTTTATATTTATAAGTATATTAAGTAGTACTTAAGTTGCCAAATATTGTGAGCTTATTTACTTTCTTACTTAAAATTATTCTAGATATACAACAAACGACTTGAACTTCATGACACTTTAGCCCACTTATCAATGAAACTTTTTATTTTATTACTATAAAAAACTATACAAACAACAGCAATTCCGAGATACCACTAATTTAGCGATAACCGCATAACCTTACAACGCAAATTACACCTTTTTAATACTTACACCTCATCTTCAGACTTGGGATCTTGCCATTCATATTCCCCATGCCTTAAATCTGTAAAAATATTAACATTAATATCCATATTTCCATAATTAACACCTATGTAAATAAAACATATTTGAAACTCACTCGATGTCACGTGAATTTTTCTAATTTGTGCCGAAACCGGCGCCTGAAACGGCTTGATTTTTTGCAACACTAGAAAACGTTTTAATGCGGTTTGAAACATTATGTAATCACATGAATACAATAGAATTAATTCTTATTTTATTTTTTTGTTTGGTTAGAAAATTATCGCGATATAATCTGCGAAATTGACATTTATTTTGACAATTATTGACATTGACAATCGCAGCTTGTTTGTTGACAAATATTGTGTTCGGATACTTTATACTAATTCTATTACCTACCAATAAAATCTTAAATAAAATTAACAGGTACTAACTATATCTAAATTAAATATATACAACTTAACATAAAAAATAATTAAAATAAAACTAAAAACAACATTTACATAAAGCATCGAAAAATTCGTCCGCATCGACGTCAGTGGGGAAAGTACCCAAAAGGCTGGCAGCATTGCCCCATTGTACAATATTATTGCGGTGCGGTACCCTGTACTGACAACAAATTAAAACTGAAATTTCTTAAATCAAACCAGTATTTTTTTTATTTTATTGATGTTTTATATGATTAAATCAAGAGTGCACCCTAGGTCTAGGCACCTCATACGCTCTTCTACCGTTCTTGGTACCGCCGTCATTTTATAGGCAGTCGGGTACATACACGGTACACGCTATACACTTGCCTAGTTTGCCTTAAGGTTAGAAGATAAATACGGCTCTGATAGGAGCGTTAAGGCAAAGAGTATAACTAAAGGCGAACGTTAAGGGTACATATTTTTTTGGGAGGAAAAATTGTCCAATGACTTCTCCAGCCTTGGTTGAAGCAAGAGTGTCAGACTATTACTAACTAAAAACCACCTCGTTTCTACTTCTACCCTTGAAGCGGGAGCCTCCAGCAACACGTTAAGCCCTCGGTATGGAGCTAACGACAATAAGCAAGGCGTCAGATGATGCGTGTTCAATTTTTACTTGTTTTTTGTCTTCTAATAAATAAGAAACAAACAAGGACGTTGAAAAAATAACAAGTCTCAACCCAAAGAAAACTATTCATTAAACGAATATTCAAAAGAAAAAATCTTAACAAACGTCGCCCCATCAAATATAAAAAAAAATCTTAGAATCTCTAATAAGAATTAATGAGACCGTAGATTAGTCTTTTTATATCAGTGCCGTAGATTATGAATCTAATATGAATATGACAACACTGTAGAACAAATGTCAAAAAAATCTTGAAAACGTCAGTTTTCGCTAAAAAGGCCACTATTGACTTGGCCATTTTTCATAATGATATTTGTTATAATACAAAATTATTGATTTTTATCACAAAGGTGTTGGTAAAATACGTATAGTGTATAGTGCAATTAGATTACAAGTTTGTACAAAATGAATTTTTGTTAAAAGTTACTGCCATTGTAACATAAGTTGTGAATTACATCGTTAGAATAAAATATTGATGATAAACTAGGTGAGTTTTATGACTAAATGACGTGTATTTCGCTATATCATTTGTGGTTAGCACTTAATAACCTTTATGTATCACTAATATCAAATAATAATCAAAACTTTTTCATAAATCTTCACATTTTACAGAATAAACTTGATTTGAATTGTTTTGCCTTAATTTAATATCATGTTTTATTATCCAGGCGTCCTTGAGTGTGTTTCAGAGGGTTATTTATAGTATTATCTCTTATTTAAGTTTTTTCTTAATAGTATTCACAGTGTTAAGTTGATATTATTGTATTATCTTTTAGATAGCAACTTTAGTGCTTCTAGAAAATAAATCCTTCATTTGTTTATTTAGATTAAAACTAGTAAAATTATTACTCATTTGTTTTATAGAATGAAATGAATATTTGTTATATAGTACAGTGTAGCTCAACAGCTTGCATTGTGTTTAGTTGTGTGAGTGATGTTACCGGAGGCCCAATTACCCAAATTAATTTAGATTTTTTATTTTGTACAGATTTTGTGTTATTTTTAAAATCTATTGCTTTATACCTTTATTATTTTATATCTAAACATGTTTTTGAAAATACAATATTAATAGGCATCCCAAGCTATAGACAAGCTAACTAGATACCGAGGAGGCTTAAAGCAGGATTAGGAACGGGGTGGTTTTCAGTCAGCAAGAGTCTGACACTCTCTTGCCTCACCAAAGTGTTAGCAGGCATAGAATGATTTTTCCGCCTCAAAAAATGGAATTACTTTTAAACCTCAAAAAAATTAGTAACTTTGTAATTGAAGTCAAAACATTTATTTCAAATTATCTTATTTAATTTAAACTGTCAAACACCAAGCGGTCACCGGTGACCGCGACCTATTGTTCTTTAATTGTGTCTATAAAACCGGTACTCGACGAGTTAAAGGCACTTGGCACTTGGCACAAGGCACAAACATCAAAATTAATTCGTGTATCAGAAAAATTTTATTTAACTCGTCGAGTACCGTATTTATAGACACAATTAAAGAACAATAGGTTGCGGGCACTGGTTTGGTATTTGACAGTTTAATTTATTTGCTTAAATCTAATAACTGTAAATTTTTCATCTATGTGAAAATCTACTAGCGTCTGCTAGCGGTTTCATTCTCTTTCTTGTAGGATAAAAATATACCCTTGTACCAAAGTTCATCCCAATCCCTTTTGAAAGTGGTTAACATTTTGATGAAACTTTCGCATTATAATATTAGTAGTAGATGAAAATAGATTATGTGATGACATGTAAATCACATGCAGAGAGCCGTACTAATTAGTCGACCTAATATTGTAACCCTAATATACAAGTATACCTAGAAACATTGTGTTTCTTATTGGTTGTTCCAGGTACTATGTAAAGTAGGATATATCAAATCACATGGCTGTCAACCAAGTGGTTTGTTTGTGAAAGTGTAAAACAGACAGACACACACATTAGCATTACAAATATTAAACAATGTGGTCAGTAGGTCAAAATATTTATAATTACAAAAAAACTCGTATAAACCGTAAAATTAATACAAATGTTACTTTTAACTCATAATCACTTTATCAGTATAAATAAATGTATGCTGAATTTATACATATTAATACTGATAAGAATAAATATTTTCTTATTATCGACAATTGGGTATCGGAACAAATTTTGCAATTAATTTAACTAATAAGAAAATTTATGAACATGTACAACTTTTCAACTGTATGTTAATTAAAAAAGGCCTGCCTTAAGGCATTAAGTCCGCCATTCAATGTTATATTTGCTGAAGAAGAAATAAATAAAAAAAGTCATTTTGGTCTATTGGAATTTTTAATTCCCCAACTCAAGCACATAACTATTTTTTCTCATTTTATTCACTAACACTATCAGACTAAACAACGAACAGATAATTTTATTATTTTTCCTTAGATTACAAAAAAACATGTTCCTGTTATTATTTTTTGACATTTTTAAAGTGCCGTCTTGGCCGAACTAATCTTGACTTGATAAACTATAATTGAAACTTTGAAATACTTTAGGAAGCACCTAAGACTTTTAAATCAACAGTCACACTAATGCTGGAATACTGAAACGTTATTCAATTTTAAGTGGTGCTTAAATATCATGCGGTCTCTGTCATTTTACAAAGAATTTCTAGAGACAGAACTATGCTTAAGCGCGACTTAAAATTGAGTAACGTTTCAGTATTCGGGCATAAGCTATGCAGCATTTTATCTCATAAATTTTTCACTAATGATATAATTTTCTTCTTTTACAGTTAAAAAACAAATAATTAAAAATGGAAGATTTAATTGATGTTAAAGTTAAGATTGAGAAAGTTGACTCAAGAAAGGATCCTACCTCATTTTTGCCCGAGGAGCCAATGTCTTATGAAATTAAGAAGAAAAAGAAGAAGAAGAAAAAGCATCAGGAAGACCCTTTCAAGGATATTGATGATAAGGTTGATGTGAAAGTGGAACCTCTCACTCTGCTGGATCCTGAAGTTAAAATTAAGGTTGAAGATATTGAAGTGCAGTTGGATTTTAATGATGTGAGTATTTGTTACCCTTCCCGCTACTTGGTCCACGTAGAATATTCATCATCATCAACAGCCTATAAATGCCCACTGCTGAGCAAAGCCTCTTCTCACACGGAGAAGGTTTGAGCATTAATCACCACGCTTGCTCAATGCGGGTTGGCGATTTCAAACTTATAATTAGAAATTATAAGTCCAGGTTTCCTCACGATGTTTTTCCTTCACCGTTTGTCAGTGGTGTCTAAATAATCTTAGAAAGTACATATAACTCGAAAAAAGTCACATTGGTACTTGCCGTTGGTAGGTTTCGAACCCGCACCCTCATGCATGAGAAGTGGGCGTCTTAAACCTCCGGGCCACCACGACTATTCTTATTTTATTTCATGGGAGTATTTAATCAGGATAAAAAGTCCTATCACCTAGGTCAGCGCATACCCTGTCTGTAGAGGTATACCAAATTTCATCATAATCCATTCAGTAGTTTCAGCATGATTGACGGACAAACATCATAACAAACTTTTACATTTATAATAATTGTGTGATTCTCTAAAACAAGTATTATATGTATAAGAAATAGGGATACATAAGATGTAAAGTGGTCAACTTGTTACTTGACACATTTTCAAAATTAATTTATTTACTTTCTCATCCACTTTTGTGCACAAATCTATTATTAAACTATTCTATCCGGTGTTATACAATATATTAAAAGAAAGTTTTCACAATATCGAAATCGAAAAGATCTTTTCGAATTATATTAAACATGAGACATAACATCATGCCTTTTTATCCCCGAAGAGGTAGGCAGAGGTGCTTATTACGACACTTAATGCCCCTGTACAATGTAACACCCACTTTTCACTATTTATGTTATGAGTCCCATGTAATAGGAGGTGAGCCTATTGTCATATACCGGGCACTATTGCAGACTCCGTGCTACTACTAGGATTCTTTTTAACCCAGTAATATTTGGCCCGACCGGGGAATCGAACCCGAGACCCCTTGCCTGGCAGTCGCACTTGTGACTGAACTGAGAATGATCACAGTAAATACATATTACCAAAATTAAACCCTATTTTATTTCATTCCAGTTTGCTGATAGCAGTGGGCTGAT